CTCAAAAATAACAATGATAAAAAATATTCCATATTAAGTAGCAACCCTGTACATAATTATGTTACCCTCAGCTAAAAATGGGATAAATAATTTACCGTGTTCCCTGCACATAAAAAAAAACATAAAAAATATTGACAAGTGCCAGGTGCCAGCGCTTGTTAATCTTTGAAAATATTTTCTGAACATTCCATTAAATAGTCGGTGCCGAGTTTATGCTGACATGCGCTTTACCACATCTTGTTTCAGTGTGTCCACCTTGTCTCTTAAGCCCCCTTCACACTGGACGGCGTCCTTTCTGCGTCCGGTAGTACGGCCCCGTTTGAGAGCAAATAAAACTATTACTTCTGTGCCGACAACTTGCTTATCATTGTACATTCAATCTGCAGCCAAAGCGATGCTTGTGTCTCTTCTCTAAGACCATGTCGATGCCAGTTACATGGTCGCAAAAAGGACGCAGAAAGGACTCCGTCCAGTGTGAAGCGGGTTTTTACTTAAAATTAACATCATAGAAATTGTCCCACCCACGGTCGAATATTATANAAATTGTCCCACCCACGGTCGATTATCATTTCATGCATAAGCGAACTCGTCCCTCTGGATCTTAAAACAAAATTAAAATCAATTTCAAAATTTAACCGAATGTAGCACTTGTATGCGGATATGTACAGAACGTAGCCTACTAGTAGTCAGGTAACAATACACGTTGGAAAGTTCCCAATACGATGCCAGACACGTCCGTCTATTCCAGCTGATAGTTGCTTATTCTTCAAATATTTCTACTAACAGACATTGAAAACAGTCAACGAATGTGTCGATATTGAACACATAATCTCCAAATCCCAACTGAGTCCATACATTGTTCATGACATCAAACACGGTCGGCGACGACATGATTAACCACTCTGCCATAGCGTAATACTCATTTGGGTTCAACTGGCCGTCATCGTTAAAGTCCATTTTGTCAAACCAGAGTGCAATTTTCTCTAAACAATGAGAATTTGCTCCAGATAAATCATACGTACAAACTTTGTCTCTTCTTATCGGTGGTGAGGTCTTACCGCCCATAAACAGTGCCGTCTGAACCATCAATATCATTGCCACTGTAGTGCCGTGCATGTTTACTGTCCTTAGATCTGGAAGATTTACATATGCATTTGAACGTTTGAAAACAATTTCTGACAATTACGTAGAAATCGAGGATTAATTTCACTTTTTCAAAAAATTAATTCATGTTCGTTTACCTGTAAATAACTCTCGCCGAAGCTATTTATATGGCAGGTGTCGCAGTATGAAACTTTGAGGCATTTGTTGGGAACTAGAGGTAAAACAGTGATGTTAAACTATTCAGGGAATTGTTTTTGCGGAACTCATACATGTATACGGGAATCCATTAACTGGTATTGAATTAAATATGATGGAAAAGCATGGAAAAGAGAATGTCTGATTCAGGTGGCAGTTGATGGCGGCGATGAAGGTCCGGGGTGCGAAATGTTGGTGGGGGATCGAAACATATGACCATAGATATCTTTATTATAGTTCAACCTGATTATTTTATGATGGAAGTAGCGTGAGAGTAATAGTTTATTGGATTTTAGTTGTTTTAAACTTAAATGCATCCCTGTATGTAACATATATGCTGATCGTTTAAGTTTGAAATGGAATTAGTGCTCATCACGTGTCATGTCATGTAACGTGAAAGGTAATAACCATATTTACAATATAAAACAAATTCGTACTTATGTTATCGGTTTTAAATAGTTATATCGTGTGCATAAATGGATAAATGTTCAATGCGCATACAGTACAAATAAAGCCTAGTAAGATCTAGTTAATGTAGCTGGGATCAAAAATGGTTTATTGGCAATAGTGCTACACGCCGCGGTAAGCCCTGCCTAGAGCACCGGCTTCTCTGGACGACTAGGGCGAGAACACGCGACCTACAGAAGAGTACTGCAAACAGTACTCAACTCATTAACCAATAGAGAGCTTATGCTCTCTTGATATTCACTCTCTCACATGATTTATGGATAACTAATTAAAAACAATTAGAAAATATGTGATGCGCAAACGCACGTATCGCCGTGTGCGCAACAGTAAATGTAAGATACATGTACATTTGTCAGTTTATAGACTATAATGTAAGACACGTCCCTGCATCCCGGCAAAATTGCAGTTGCTTGTTGATTTTATGTCACGATAAGCTAACATATATATCTTTAATGTTACTTAAATTTGTCAAATTCGTTCGATTCACTGTCAAATCCGACTTTCGTCCACGCTACTCTCATGAGATTATCCTCGAAGAAGGGCTGTTCATCTTACAGGAATATATATAAGTTGGCCTTACTGTGTCACCGTCAAACTCGGACATCTCTCCAAATGTCCGTTCTTGTTGTTCTCCATCCTCTGACCAACGGGTAGAGGTCCTGAAATCTCTTATATCACATAAGCATACTTTGCCTCTTCTTGTCGTTTATGGCGGCAATAGTTAACAAATATAATCTCTTTGTCTCGGGCTGTCGGCGGTGTGGTCAGACTGCCTAACAACAGTATTGGTTGTAGCATCAATATCATTGCATGGGCTGTGCATGTTTGCTGTCTCTATGGTCCCATTCAGAATAGGGGGCTAACTAGTCTAAGGTTCAGATATGGCCGACGCCCTTGAATACTTCCCCACAGAATATCTATTCAGTGTCTATTATAAGATTAAACGGCAAGCTTTGTTGTGGATCGCTATATTTGACCCTCGGACTAGTAAGTCCCCTATTCTGAATGGGGCCTATCTGAATATTACAGACTTTAAATTCTACATACATGTATCTATTTCATAAATTTTAAACATATCCTGGCATTGATGTAGTACATTTTGAATGACCTTAATATTTTTTCTAGTTTATTTTATTCTCGAAAGAATTGAACTTGGTTACTTGTGAATTACTTCCGAGCAAGCCATTTGTAAATAAAAAAGACAGGTTTCCCAAAACCAGAAGCCTTTATTAATACATTTTAAAAGTGACGATTTACTGAACTGAAATTTTCCGTTAAAATGTATCTCGATCACATTAGAAGTATGTTCCCTAATGAAAAATTTGGAATTTAAAGCTATTCGTTTATTTCAGATATGTCCGGGAGCCGCGCACGCTGCTATCACTGCTACCGGAAGTTTCCCATCGTCCTTGACGCCATAATACACAACATTGAGCTCCACAAAGACAAGCCTCTCTCGCTTCTCCTATACGTCGAAAACAGCTGTGCAGCATACGGGGAAGTGAAATGGAGGGCTGTTCATTATGACGTCAGGCCTTGTGACGTTAACAGCATCATGTTTGATGACAAAACATGGAACATAACTGTAGAACCAGGAACTGTTGTGAAAAGTCCCCAAAAACTATCTGGAAAACCTCAAGTTTCAGCTACCTCCTCAAATAGAAACAGATCTTTGAGTACTAGTAGGACCTCGAGTGACGGTAGCAATCCTGATGTCACCACGTCAGAACCACATTAAAAGTTGTGACGTCAGAATGACATCATAGCCCCAACATTGTGACGTCATGCTGACCTCACATTACATTCAGCTCTTCAGCTATTTAATCTGCACTTTTGAAAAAATTGGTAATGTAAACATGATATAAATGATACGAATATTTGTATAAATAATAATAGATATGTAATTATATAAAATATCGTAAAATGGCTTTTTGCATGATCAGGCGGCATTTTTCCAAACCGTTTGACTCCTTAAGGAATTATATATTTCAAGGGTACACACTGCATGCGCTTTTTTCTGCTATACTCCTGACTCAGATTCTATCTGTGACGAATAGAAAATATATTCAAGTGTCTGAGTGAAGTATATTTCTGTTCTAGTTGTCTGTGCAGCCACTCGCCCTTCAGGAATAGAGTCGAGAAGTACGTCAACATTGAAAAACTTACTAAAATTGTAAAAACAATTATTGAACTGTAGCCTGGCTTCAATGTGTATGTTTTTGAAAATATTTGTGCTGGCTGCTAAACTTTAATATTGGATCAAGGGGCGCAGATAATAAACCGATCGTGGCATATTTTTCCCACTTTCAGGATGTAATGTTTATTAAAATAACATATTCATCCGCGTGTCGAGCAAAAAAACACTGCAATCCATGCAGGTATATGCAGGCGAAACTGGAAGTAGGTCTGACCTTGTTCTAAAGAATTGAAATTGGAACAAAACCATGTAAACGTTCAGCCCGGGAGCCACCGGTCTGCCTTTAGGTAGCTTTTAACCGGTGTCATGTCGATACTCCCCAGCACCGTTACTCCCCCCACCGATACTCCCACGCACCGATAACCCCCCTTAGTAAATTCTTGTATTATATTCGCATTAATACGACCCCGCACCGGTACATTCCCGCACTAAAACTTCCCCGCACCGTTACTCCCCCACATCATTGCTTCCCCGCATCAATACTGCGGGGGAGTATCGGTGCGGGCCCGAGAGTATCGGTGCGGGGAAGTATAGGGATGTAACCAACACTAAGATCACAAGATACTGCAAAGTGCAGGACTCTAATCACCTGTTTTAAGAGACATTGATTTGTTAGAACAACATTTAAAATTTCAAGTTTGTATTAAAAAAAAAAAAAAAGACAATAACAGTGCTATATTCTAACAATTTATTATTAGAACAACATTTAAAATTTCAAGTTTGTATTCAAAAAAAAAAAAAGACAATAACAGTGCTATATTTTAATTGATTTTATACAAGAATCGGTAATCAGTGGATCAATAATTCATCAGTGACTGCTAATGTTTTACAGTTTCAATAACAGTTACATGTGATTCACAAGTTGACTTTTGTGAAAGACTGTCAGACACAGTGCAAAGGTACCCCAGGTAAAAGTAATTCAAGGTGGGGAAGGAAGTAATGTAGTAGTTTAACTTTATGCGCGTGTTATATCTTATATGTAGAGTTTACGTAATCAATTTCCGCTTCCGTTTTGAAAACGAGGCCAAATCTAATATTTTCCTAAATAACCGTCATATGAGCCGGTGGCTCCCGGGCTGTCCCGTCTTACCATTCGGTATATATTAACTTGCCTGACGATGGTCGACACGACAAAAGATTCTTCTGAGGAGCAAGATATGAAGTGTAAATTGCTTGATGAATTCAGGTGTTTTACCTTCTCACAAGCGTACTACGGAGCATTTTCTATTTTGAGAAAAGGGTAGGTTGATCCAAAACAATAAATTAATTAATGTTTTGGGAGTATTTATCGATCATAGAGATCTGGTACATGTACTTTCAGCTAAAATCAATCACATTATTATTTTTTCTTTCCATGTAGAATTAAAAACGGAAGCTTAAATACTAGTAAAGGGACGTGCCATCACAATACTCTTTGTGACATACTTAATCTACCACAACTTCCCTCGCCAGCCCGCATCATGGAGTTCGGCGGTGGTACAGGAACGCAGTTGGAGACCATTTGCAGAAGAATGGAAGCCTTTCAAAAACAAGCCATCGTCAGCGTTGAAGAACCATACGAAGAATATCTTAAACAGTACGTCACAACCATCGAAAGCTTGAGCAACGCGTGTCTGGACATTGTCTACTCTGGACCTATTCAGGATTACTATGGGCGTTCTGTAGAAGACCTGAGAGCCATGAAAGCGTATCCAGAACGGTTGCAGGACAGAGTGCTGGCATTGCACGTTCTGTATCATGCAATTAACATTTTCGATCAAGACATGGACCCACAGAAGAACCTCAAACAAGCTGCCTCTGCAATGTACACCATCCTCAAACCAGGAGGAGAGATGGTTATTCATATGGCTGGCCATGACGAGGTTTTAATAGGGGCCGTCTCGTTGAAGTGTTTAGAGAGCCTGTTCCCAAATACGAAAGAGAATTTTAAGATTAAGTACGAAGTCTTCCGAAAGCAATTATTCGAAGGTGGTTTCGTCGAAGTACTGAATACGTCGTTTCCAATGTTCACGGCCAAGATGCACTGTGAAGAAGTTACATATCTCAATGTCCTCTCAACCATAGAGGAAGTTGGGGCCTCTGCATCTGTACCTTGTCTACACGGGCTGTGGGCCGATCAATCTCCGTTCGATGTTCGCGTTTTGCAGTTCTGTATAGATTACGCGAAGAGTGAAGGCTACAAACACGGTCTTTACCGCGACAGTAAAGGAATGTGGTGTTTTCCAATAAAAGAATATTATATAACGATAAAAAAAGTTGAAAGGGAATAATTTGCTAAAGATAACTTGAATTCACAACATTAGATCATAAAGTTGCGGATAGACTTGGCGGTGGCGTTGGCGGTGACGATGTTGGTGGCGGTAGCGGTGACGGTGTTGGTGGCGGTGGCAGTGGCAATGGCGGTGTTGGTGGCAGTGGCGGTGACGGTGACGGTGGTGGTGGCAATCTCTCCAGTTAAAAACAAAGAGCTTGTTTGTCAAACCAGACTATCATGTATGTCCCTATTCCACACTGACTAGGAAATCCACGAACCGTTAGGAATTGATAAATTCCAAGGCTCATAGTGTAATCGTAATAAATTATTTTAGTTCTTAAGTGATTCTTATTGCTTCTCAGTAAGTTCTTGAGAGATCATGGAATCGGAAAAAAGTTTTGAGCAGTTCAAATTTTTGATCCCGAACTCCCGAATACAAAAAATCTTGGTTAACTATTGGCATATTCTTAATTCTATCTTAACGAATTTGTAACTGAATCCTATAGGGGCAGGATTTCTACCAGAATGTACAGAATTCCACGATTCCTTGCCGATTTCTAATTTTTTTCAATTCCTGGCAGTTCGTGGAATTCATAGTTGCTGTGGAATAGGGGCCTTGTTTACATTACTCATATGTAGCCTAGTTTCAAGATAGTGCTTTCCAGTCTGGGGAATATCACAGATTTACGTTATATCGCTTTAAAATCACACCAATGGGAATACACCTGTTGGCATTGATATATCAGCTCAGCTCACAATAAGCTCCCGGCCCGTATGTTTCGCAATGCTAGGCCATAACTTTAGGTATGCCCGGTTTTTGCTTAAGGTATGCCCGGTTTCTGCTAATCACCTTACAGGCATACAAGGTGTTATATCTTTGTATGACAAAATTATTAATTTTTCAAGAAATATCAGGAACCTGTCAATTATTACCAGGGGAGACTCTCTCAAAGACAGTTGAGAAAAATAGATCAGAAAGTCGAGTTCGATGCTTAAATAATTACATTTCACTGCCATGTGTAAAATATGTGAGTCTCAATCCATACAACGAGATTAAATATGAATACGAATTAAAATGTCAAACGCGACCATGTGGATCGCAATTCTGAGAACAACAGGTTTCGGTTTGGTTCAGGCCTACCTTATATTGAAGTCTAAGGAAAATAGTGCTAGCGTTTTCCGGAAAATTAAATTCTACTATACCTGTCTAGCGTTCATTCAGAAGGTTTTGATTTTCGAACTTTGAACTATCGGACGTGACACTTCCACAATGCATGCAAATCCCTTAAGCCATGTTTATTTTCTTTCTTTAGCTGAGTCAACTTATTATACTATTCTCAGGTGGACTGAGAAGGTTATGTAGTCTGCTATTCTTTTCATATTCCTTTCAATTATATTCAGAGAAACAGATACTACTATATTTCAGTCAAGCATGCTTTTCCAGATGAATTGTGTCGCTCCTTTGGCGTTTCGTTTTATCCTGAAATCTCGAAAGAGGCGCCAAATCTCCAGCATATGTACAAACATTTAATCAGTTAAAATATGAAAAATATGGACTGGACATGTTACAAGTATAAGTCCTATAAAGCTTGCTTTTGTTACAATATTGTGTCTTTTAATTATTCATTCAACTCCACAATGGTTATCCGATGTCCACAATGTACAGTTGTCCGTCAAAAGCATAATTCCGCTGTCCACAATGTCGTAAAGGTGTCCGTCAAAAGCATAATCCCGCTGTCCACAATGTCGTAAAGGTATCCGCCAAAAGCATAATATTCCGCTGTCCACAATGTCGTAAAGGTGTCCGTCAAAAGCATAATCCCGCTGTCCACAATGTCGTAAAGGTGTCCGTCAAAAGCATAATCCCGCTGTCCACAATGTCGTAAAGGTGTCCGTCAGAAACTTATTACGCCGTCCACAATGTCGTAAAAGGTGTCCGTCAAAAGCTTATCCCGCTCTCCACATTGTTGGGAAGGTGTCAGCCATGTGTTGACCACTGGTCAGTTCTCCCAGCACTGGCACCGGGCTGTCCCAGGGTCTCTGGACATACACACAGTCATCTCCTGTTATAAATGAATGTTTAAATATTATGTTCTCATGCAGGGGTGTATGTACAGATCGATAGAAAAAAGTGGCTAAGGGTGTGCTCACAATGGAGCTATCGTACTAGCTATCGCGCACTATTTTAATAGTTTTAACTAGCTTTAAAAAGCTTTAAAAAGTTTTAAATAGCTTTAAAAAGCTTCGTGTCCAATATATATATAAGACATGGCCAAATCAATATAAAAAAGTAAAACATGAGCGTATGTAGTGAAAATGACTAATAACAGGGAAATGCTATAGATTCTCGTACCTAACCATCTTGTGGATAACACACGGCGTGGCAGCGTCTCGGATGAGTTGCCCGGAGCACCGTGTAATGTTAGCATATGGAACACGACGCAGTCACCAGGCTGGAAAATACATTACAAGTATGTTGTGATATGGAAAACAGCTCAAATTCTATCTTAGTACAAAATAAATGGTAATTCCAGATGCACCTTGGTCTTACTTGCACTTTTGGAGATGATGGCGTAAATGATGATGGCTTAAAAGAACTATGGTCTGCATATCAAATGTTGGTATCTTTTAGATATAATGTACTAATATCTAAAGGTTCGTAGCATCCTTAATACATTGTACATTGACAATGCGTCTGCTGCCCTTGCTAGACAAGAGGCTATAAAACGAATTCGAAGTGAAAACGCAATGGAATTCAAGAGGATATTTTAAGTCAATGTTAAATTCAGAGAAGCAGATAAACTCAAACCGATTCAGGTCCCGACTAAGTGGCAAGTGGTTTTGTAAACTAAACTTCGTCCTTGAATTTCTGTAGAAAGACACAGAAGATGAATACATGTTTGAAGCTCCAAGTCGTCGTCAATCTAATAGCAATTTGATAGAATTTGCTCGCACGCCAAGTCTTACTCCGCGTAGCAACTTTCCAAATGATATTCAACTTTCACATATTCATACACTTTAACACCAGCTAATAACCTTCAACATTTCACCGAAAACTAGTCTTGCATTATGAGAAAATGTGACGTACCTCCACCGCCCATTTTAATATCTCGTACTTCTCTACCGCATTGTTCACATCTGGCGCATTCTCGTAGGCCCTGTCTCCACACGTCTCTGCCCTGACGATGTCGTAGTTGTTTGCCGTGGCGAACTTCTTTGGAATAAACCATCGTCCCCAGCGGTGTGACCCCTTCACGAACTGAAGAGTGGTTTCCATGGGAACGGGGTCTATTGGCAGCCATATGGAGCAGTTCTAAAGATTGAAAACAATGAAAATTCTATACGAGTTTCAAGTGCACGAAAGTGCCATTGCTCCTTGTTGGTTCGAGTGAAAGTTAAGCAGCGCTGATTTTGATGCAAAATAATTTGATACTGGCCCACATATCATGACTTTGATGCTCACCTTGAAGCCGTCCACAGGGTAATAGGGTTGGTCTTGGTGCCAGGGAGTCTCTTTGTGGGCGCCAGGTTCCTTACACAGCACGTGTTCGTAGTAAAATGTAGCTTTCTGAAACGGTGCAGGTCATAGGTTAACAGATAGTTACGAAATAAGCCCGTTTTTGGTCATTTTAGCGCTCTTTTATATATAATGTATCTGCACATAAGGTACCTCAATTGACGGCACGGGAGGTGAGGGGGCAAACGAAATGCGTTTTTGACTCCTGTTACATGGATTTGCTTTGTGAAATTATTCCAGAAAATATCTCGAAATTATTGTCTCACCTTAGATTGCATTAAAGTGCCGGCTATCTCGGCTGCCGGCGACCCAGTTACAAAATCTTTGAACTGCGGAATCTTCTGCCAGTTGAACAGATCTTGGAAATACACTCCTTCGTCTCCCGGTGCTTTCAGCCTTTCCCCCACCTTACTCGGTTGTGCCATATTTGCTTCAATCCCTTCTGTCACCTTTTGGATCCATTCTTGAGTAAACACACCTCGCAAGCACACAGCGCCGTCCTCGTGAAAACGTCGAATCACCTCTGGCGTGAGAGCGGCTGAAGCCATTTTGAAAATTGTCGTCTGCTACTATTAAATGCACCCGATGACTGGCCCTTTAAATGGATATGTTAGGGGTATATATCAGTTGATGAAATTGGGTCAAAACAGGATTAGTTTTAATATGATAGATCCCCGTACACTTGTCACTACCTCGTTCACTCTCAGTATCCTCTCTTTACTCACTATATGCCTAATATTTTCATGTCTATTCTTAGACAGACTCGAGAATGCACTGCCAAAACTATGGACTCTATTATCTCCCCTGATTAGAACACCACATACTGTTCTTTGAGGAGTAAACTTATCATCTCTGCACCGTCCCTTTCTCTATGAAAAAATAATAAGCTATACAAATTACGGTTCCAGACGTCTCATAAACACATGCCCGGGTTAAGACACATACGAAATATGTGACTTAAGCCATGGTTCGCCCAGAAAACAGGCAGTGTTGTATTCCGTGTACGTGTACAGTCACGGCATGCAGGGACCCACAGGAAAGCTAAGGCCCCATTCAGAACAGGGCACTAACTAGTCCTAGGGTCAAATATGGCCGACCCACTTGAATACTTGCCCACGGGATATCTATTTAGTGTCTAGTAGAGGATTAGACGGCAACCTTTGTAGTGGGTCGCCATATTTGACCCTCGGACTAGTTAGTCCTCTATTCTCCTAAGACCGACAGTATAGCATGTTCTCAGTTTCGCGTAAAGCGACTATTGCTTTATCTTTTCTCATAGACTGATAAAACAATTTTAGTTAAGTACCCTGAGAACCCCGTATGCGCCCATATAACTCGACTCATACTGGTGCACTGCTAGCTGCCCGTTTGTAGATTGCCTTTTAACACCGAACCATGAGAGCGTCAGGCTTCCCTGGCCTGGTTTAATATAGAATTAACTCGACAATGTATAATAACTGTTGTCATTTGTTGTACCACTAATAATTATGATTATTTTTCATTATTGTTGTTATTATTAATATTATTTATGCTTCCGTATACATTATGGCTATTCTGGTAACGTTAAAAGAAATTTAAAATTAAATTCATCGGGAAGCAGCCAATACTTTGGCAGGTACACTGTGTGAAGACACTCTGGGCATTCGACACCGTGCTAGAATGTACCCATAGCCATACATGTACAAGAAACCAGTATGAAATGAAGAAGAAAGGGAGTACTGTTGACAGGGTCTACATCAAGGAATATTGTGTGTATGTCTCTGTTTACTTTGTGATAAGAAGAGTTAACTGACCTACCATTCACTGTATGTTATATGACGAAGTGCCCGTTACACCAAGTCATCTCCTTCGTTGTAGAGTAAACGTACTTTTATCAGAGAGAGAGAGAGAGAGAGAGAGAGATTGTCCGACCCACCCAAACAACCATCGAAGGAATTAAACCGTTTGGGAGTTTATCCTTACTATTCTCCAAGAGGCTTTACAGGCCATTTCAAGTTATATACATTAGTGTCTTATTATTGTAGAAACTGTGGTTCTAAATAGTTCGCCTTGTATTTTCTTTCACTATTTTCAATGGATCATCGAACTGCAGATTAGTGTGTGTGCTTGGCCAACGTAAAAATAGGTGTAAGCACGGCTCTATAGGCGTTTATGTACGTCATATCACATACGTATGTATTCTGTTTTCTATGAACAACCTTCAACACAGACACAGTTCGAATATACATGTATATTGGATTGCCCTTTCTTGATTACACGCAACCGAACACGAAATGCATCTATCATGGATCTGATTCGTAAGAACAAAATAACGCTGAGATTGGCTCTAATACGATACATGGGTAATTTGCACATATCTTTGGCCTCATAGTGCAACAGTTTACAGCAAAATAGTCGTTCATTCAAAACAAAACGTTTTGTCATTTCCTTTGGCTTAAGTTGACTATATCCAACACGTGCCCTGTTCCATAGAGAGGACAACTCTATAGATAAACACCATACATATCCCGTTACTCGATGTACCGCATACTGCCCTATATCTACCCCGCCGTCCAAACTGTTGGGAAAGTCTCACTTTCCCCCACGTACTGCCCGGGGGAGAGACCTCCCAGTATGGGCGGAGACGGGGTCCACGGTCTCTCTGCAAGTACACAGTCGTCCCCTGGAAGGATTAAATCAACACTTAAGCATTACACATTTTTGTAAAATATGAATTACGAGTAAGGTATACGTACGCCTTTTTATAAGGCATCATTTTTTCATTTTTCAGCACACAAATTGAAGCATCACTAAAATTATTTAGCTTTCTGACGTTTGTTATTAATTAATTTCATTCTCTTTTCGTTATGAAAACAATTAATCTAATTTACACAGTTTTGTAAGTGAGGTAGTGAAATAGCTATTGGAATAAACTTGATAGTAATTATAATGATAAGTTATTAAAAGTCTAAAATCCATTTATGTTCAGCACAGTTTACAAATATGAATATAGAATTTAAAATAAAAACTAGTTAAGGAATTTTTATTCAAAATTACAGAACGACTCACTGGAAGGAAGCGATTCCAATATGCTTAAAATAAACATAAAATGCAAGTGAAAGACCGCATTCAGAACAGATGATCCTTGGGCTAGCTAGTCCACGGATCAACTATGGCACGAGCCACTAAAAAG